TCCATTTTATTTTTAAAAATTTATTTGTTTATTCATTTATTTATTTATTTATTTATTTATTTATCTTTTCCACTGCACAGCCCTAAATGACATCAGAGCTACCCTTCTCCCTCCGAAACCTAACATAGACAACACACTCTATGGAAAATTACAGCAACTGCAGCAAACCTGCACTTATCCTTGCATGGCATTGGACAGAAGGGCGAGAGCCCAGCTGTTGCTGGATCGATAACGACAGGGTGGGTGGTCGGCCGGTGCTCTGGTGTGGTTTGCTTCTTCTTTCCTATCAAACATCTATCCATCTTTATGTCCTTTCCTTCTTTTTTGTGTTTGTTACTCTCTCGTAACACCTCTAATCTTCGGCATGTATATGACCTTATTGCGTTGCAAGCGCGTAAAACGCTTACTAAAAAAGATAACGACAACAACAACAACAACAACAACATTTATTTACCTGTGCATGTATGTACATATGTGTGTATGTTTGTCTGTGTGTGCAGGTTTCACACAGGGTGACGTGGGCCTGGCTATGGGCAAGCTCTATGGCAACGACTTCAGCCAGACGACCATCTCCAGGTTTGAGGCCCTCAACCTCAGCTTCAAGAACATGTGCAAGCTCAAACCACTGCTACATAAGTGGCTGCAGGTAAAAAAAACAACTCCTCTCTGTTCGCTTTAAGACCATCTCCATTTTTTGTTTACAGTAAAAATTTGACATCTTTTTAAGCTCACTCTTTGTTTTGAACGGTTTTCACTGTTATTAAAAATGGAGATACGACAAGAAAACACTGAGGTAAACTCTCAAACCACTGCTGTATCAGCGCCGTGGAAAGTGACATGCAGCTCTTGCAACACAATGCTGTCATACAAGTGCCGAAAATATAGAGTATAGAGGCCTTACAACTAGAGGGTAACAAAAACATAAAAAAGAATGAGGAGAGACTTCAGCCAGACGACCATCTCCAGGTTTGAGGCCCTCAACCTCAACTTCAAGAACGTGTGCAAGCTCAAACCACTGCTACATAAGTGGCTGTAGGTAAACATTCCAGTCTTTTCGCTTTAACCCTTCCAGCCCCAGCTATTTTTGTTCCAATACAGCTATATTTCAGAAAAAGAGGCATGCATTCTAAAAAGTGATGTAGTAGGCTATCTTTGTAAAGAGGTTTAAACAATAACATATAACAATGCTTAAAGGTAAATGAACAAATATGAAAATTCAAGATTAGTTAAGTTCACTAATTTTGAAAAATGCGCAAATTCGGTACCCCCCGGAAACTGAGAATAATGCTGTTGGGACGGTGGGAGGGTAGAAGCACTGCTGAAAATAGACACGCATGGGGCTGGAAGAGTTAAGAACGTGTGTAAGCTCAAACCACCGCTGCATTCAAAGTGGGTTCAGGTGAAAACTCCAGTCTGTTCGCTTTAACCTTCCCTCTCAACTCCCAGGTCTATAACTGCCAGGCTTTGTTTCGTCTGCCAGCTATTTATGTCATGTTACTAAATTTGAAAATTTTGTGTGTTGCGGTTTCTTTATCTGTGGTGTTTGTTGCCTGTGCTGAAAAAAATATTTTGTCAAAATTCAAATTCCTAAAGGTTGAAAAAAAAGCAAGAGAAAATACATAGTTTTGAGTTAGGCAAGAAAAGATTCGTAAAGTTGGTGGTATAAATGTTAAAAGAATGAGTTTTTTCCCCCTACTGGTGGCGTCGGTGGCCTAGTGGTTAGGCTACCGGACATAATCGTGAGGTTGTCCGTGGCCTAGTGGTTAGGCTACCGGACTCATAATCGTAAAGTTGTCGGTGGCCTACTGGTTAGGCTACCGGACTCATAATCGTGAGGTTGTCGGTGGCCTAGTGGTTAGGCTACCGGACTCATAATCGTGAGGTTGTCGCTGGCCTAGTTGTTAAGCTACCAGACTCATAATCTTGAGGTTGTCGGTGGCCTAGTGGTTAGGCTGCTGGACTCGTAATCGTGAGGTTGCGGGTTTGGGGGTTTGAGCCACGGGCCCGACGTTGTGTCCTTGGGAAAGGCACTTTACACAAATTTTCCTCACTTCACCCAGGTGGGAATGGGAACCCGGCCAAAGACAGCGAACGATCTTGTCAGTATGTTTGTGTTTTAGCGCCTATAAATGGCTGCTTGCACTGTACGCTTCCCAGGAAGTTGAGATTGTTTCAGAATGCTTTCAGGTCTGCTGGGGTAATAGTATAGATTGTGAAGCTCATAGAGCTTGCTGTTGAGCGGGGATTTGCACTATACAAATGCTACCTATTATTATTATTACCCGCAAACTTTTGTCTTTCTCCGGTCCAGGATGCTGATGCCATGTCTCGCACGTCCACTCCGCTGTCGCCAGGGGGCGTAGCCGGTGAGGGTCTGGGCCGCCGCAGGAAGAAGAGGACTAGCATCGACACTTCCATACGGGTGGCCTTGGAGAAAAGCTTCCTGGGTAACCCCAAGCCAACGTCGGACGACATCACTCTGATCGCAGACTCGCTCAACATGGAGAAGGAGGTAGGCTGGTGGGTGGTTGTTGGTTGACAGAAAGAGAGAGAGAGAGAGGGAGGGGGTGGGGGAGAGAGAGATGGAGAAAGAGGTAGGGAGATGGGTGGTTGTTGGTTGAGAGAAAGAGAGAGGGGGGAGGGAGGAAAAGAGAGAGAGAGAGA